TCTATTTGAGCAAATTTCCCTATTTTTTTCCACTGCCAGCGTAGAAAAAAAAACATTCACAATCTCATAAAGGATGGAGGAAAAGATGGAATGTATGAGAAGGGGGAGGAAGAGAAATAAACAGAAGCTGCAGGAAGACAACGAGAGGGAAGGAGAGGAGGTACTTAGATAGAAAATGATAGAGAAAATAGGAGGAAGACGAGGAGAGGAGGAGTGACCTTGGATGCTAAATCATGCTACATGGTTACTGCTCAGGCTAATAGAGATGTAGTGCAGTGACAGAAACCGAGAGACGCTCTGAGGTCAGGAAGAACCCCGAACACGTCGCCAGAGGAGCTGAAGCGAGAGCCGGCTGTCTCTAAAAATACACGGGGAGGTCAAAAACAAAGAAGTCAAAAAGAATTACCAAACATAGTTTTAGTTGTAGGTTATGCTGCTGAAACAGACTCGATACTGAACAGTTGCAGTTAAAGGTAAAAATATATGCGCGATCCAAACGATCAACTAAAGAAGCAGATGCAGGATGGTCTGATTAAACGATCATTCATATACGACGACGGTTAATTAAAGATGGAACAGTTCATTCATTAAACCTTTATTTGCACAGATGAATCACATTGAGCCTCAAAGACTCATTTACAAGCGAGACCTGTTTGGACAGGCAAAAAGTAATGAAAGTGAGACATGTATAGGATTTGGAGGCAAAAAAAAATAAAAATCGTAACGGACTCTCGTTCCTTGGCCAAGGAACGACGGCCTGAAATTGAAAAAAACACCCCGCACATAAGCACATAGTGACACAGATATTCCACAGGGGAGACAAGAAGAACAGGAAGTGATGCTTGTGCATGAGGGGGGAACCAAAACAAAAGATTTCAAATAGATTACGTCACAAAAAGTAAAATTGTGATACACCTTTAAGTAGTAATATGTGATTCAACGTTGAAATATCGATACTGTCGATATCAGAACTTTATGCTCTAGAATCGATGTTCAACTCAAATGATCAATACTTTAGATACTTCTGGCTTTTCAGTTAACGTATATCATTAACAGGAACATAGTGGAAAGTAACGAAACTATTGAGATCTTGTCTAAATGATAGGCGGTTGATGGGAACTACTTTTTCTTCCGCCTGGGTAAGTGCGTAATGCGTGTAAGCGGAGTGGCACGCTGCTCAGTCAGTCTCGCAGTCTGTATAAGCTCAGCTATATTGTAAATAAGGCCACCAACTCAATATACTCAAGTTTAAAATTAATTATTTATTATTTATTCGTTATGCTGCTTTGATTTGAAATACACAGATTTTTTTTTTTAGATTTACCAGACACATTAGGCGTATTTGCACAAAGTATTGGTATTGCAGATCCTAGCCTAAATTGTACTCCGTATTGGAATCGGAAAGGAAACTGTGGTATCTAACAACAAACGTTAAAAAAAAAAAAAAAAAACGAAACGTAACATCAGAGTAGAGCTTGAACACGCAGCTGTTCACCTACATCTACAGGACAAGAGACACTCATCTGAGACAAGATTCATCCTTTAGACTAAAACACATGATGCTGGGAGTAGGGGTGCACCGATTGCAGTTTTCTGGACGATCACCCATCTCCAAAAAATCTGACCGGCCGATTCCAATTTTGGCCGATACCGATTTTGTTTTATAAGCGACACCGTCAGGTGTTAAGGTCACAATGCACCTTCAGTTTTCCAATATTATCTTATTGAAAAACATAACCTTGAACAATATCCTAGAAACAATACAAGCTTGTTTTAACTGGCCATGAGGTCGTGCTCTGAAATATAAATGAAGTTCAGACAATTCTTGTTTAAACTAAAAAAAAACAACTGTAAAATCGGTTTCTCATGCAAGAATTGGATGATTTCCCAAAATTAAGGAGATCGGGGCCGATTTATCTGTGCACCTGTAGTTGGGAGGAGGCGGATGGTAAAAGATTTACATCCAACAAAGAAGAACGTTAAGTACGAGAACGTCTTTGGTTTTAGTTTCCCACAATTTACATCAAATCTATTCCAGTTGGACTTTAATTTGCCTCTTTGTGGACCAAACATCTCTCTCAGAAGAACCGAGACCCTAAAGATCCTCAGGAGAAAGTTGAGGGAGTCATTTGGATAAGAGAACTAGAATAAACAACTCACTGCAGTTTAAAGGTTGGAAAGCATCTCAGGTGACTCATCATCTTCAACCAATTTAAGAAGTCCAGTCACTTCAGGTTTTTTAACTCTTACGCACATCGTTGGAGAGTAAAACTAATTATGAAGCCTGCAGCAAACTGCAGCACACAGTGTTTTATTGCTTGTTAAAAAAAAAACTTGAAAACAATAAAATTAAATAAACACAGAATATGGCAGACGAAACAAAAGGTTTGTTGTAAAAGTAAATTAAAAATTGTGTTTTTAAGGAGTGGTTGACCAGTTTACCAAATACAATACAATGGCACACATCATAACTGATATACACTGATGATGTAAGCTCAGCTCAAACGCTGTTCTATGAAGTGTACTCCTGAAAAATACCCAAATGAAGGACCAGGAGGGCCTTTCAGACCTCCTCTGTGCTTGTAGGGCTACGAGATGAAACGGGATTTAGTCTAATAAAACAAAAGTATTTGATTACATCACTGAAAAACTACTAATACTCCTGTGTTTATAGCATGAACAACATTCCTTCAGTTTTTTATGTTAATATAATTCACGTCATGGGAGTGCAGGGAGGAAAATATTATTGTAATAACGCAACATTTCCTGCATCTAATAAAGCATTGGAGCAATATTAATCCTAAATATTGAACAATACGGGGAAGAAAGCGACTACAAGTCGTGTCATTACAGCACACCGTGGTCGTGTAGGGTGGTCTCTGCTTTACAGTGCCTATCAATTACACTTGGACACATAATGGCTGCGGCAGCACTGAGATATTTCTCAGGGCCTTTTATAATCTTACAATATGACCAAGGGCGTTCAGCTCAGGAACCGCAGCAGCTCTGCGAGATGTGACTCGTGTATATTTCCTGTTGAAAATCTGATTGAGCGGCCACTTTTATTACCGCTGGGCTTTTTAAAGGGGTGTAACTCGCAATCCTACGGTGCGACTGATTGGCCCTGGAGTCTTTCATTTTGTGTTTTCAACCAGACATATATTGGACAATACTGCCAGGGCTCGACTTTAGAACAAAACATGTATTACTGGAATATAATGAGGCTTCCCACTTTCCATTTAAACGGTAGAATTTGCTCAGGTGATACGAGGAATTTGACTAAAGATGCCAAGTTTATTAGGGATATTACGGCAAATGTAGCTCACTTTAAAACCATACTTGCTCAGCCTTATTATGGCACTGTTCTAATAAGGCAATTTAAGATGTAAATGCAAGACTTTTGGAAGAAATTCATGGCAGATATCGGGGAATTAAACAGTTCAAAAGTCACAAGGAGTTCATGTTCGAATACTGCAGGAAGGCAAACCTTTATTAAGATTACTGCACCGTTGAGCTTAATAATGAGCGTTTGCCATGGTAACAAACACCTGTTTGCTGCAACACTGAGGTGAACAAGTGTACTGCTTGTGCGAAAATGTATCATAATGACCACAGATATGAGAAGATATGAATAATAATAATGAACTCCGACTCCAAAACAGAGTTTTGTAACAAATATAGCTATAATATTCCTTGCAATAATAACTTTGTAGACCATACGTAGGATACAGTTGCTATTTTGAGTATTAGTTCAGTAATTTCTCCAACTTTTAAGCCTCGAGAAGTCAATAAAAAGCCATGATCGATATTCTTACTGAGAAAAAGCCATGACTAAAAATCTATGCATCTGCCCTGAGGCTCGCCTGAAAGTAGGTGCCTCTGATTTCCCAGCTAACTTTGCATTATTAAACATCTAATCCCATCATCCCATCCCATCAACACCACTATAAATATGCATGAGGAGCGTCAATCAGGACAGTTTCATTTGTCAAACTTGATTACGTGACGGTAATTACAGCCAATCTGAAACCGAAAGGAAAACCGCTGCAGTCCTCGGCGACTTCACTTCGAATGAATTTTAAATAGAGTTAGGTTTGGGGGGCACAAAGAAGAAGCTCCCTGGGTGTCTGAGTCATCCTTGATGGCATTTATGGGATGTAAGTCAGGTCTGAGGGGAGCAGAATGGCTGGAAACACATTATACAAATGAGATCTTTAGCGCAGAGTGAAAAACCGGACAGAAAATGTTGAGGAGGGAACGTGCACAGATTTACTTATCCCAGAAATGAGGGCTGGGGCAGCAGAGGACACACATACCAATCAACACCCACCTCTGGTGGGCTTCAGCAGAACATAAACAAAAGCAGGGCCTCCTGTTTAGTCACCTCTTTTGTTTTTGGCCTCTCTCGATTTAGTTCACCTCTTTCCTACTTGTTAGTTTTAACAGCTGCTGAAACACTTAAAACGAGGACACATTTAAAACACTTCTCTCTTCATTATCCCACACAAGCACTCATTACAGACAAAATCATCCACAATCAGCTTCACAGCAAACTTTAGATTGTTTTATTTCCCCGGCTCCACTTTATTGCAATTCAAGCGTTTGCTGTTAAAAGTTAAAAAGGCCACCTTAACATGTGAGGCTCGACAAAACGCCTTCGTGTGCGCCTCCTGCAGGGTTTTAAGTATGATCACGCACACGTTATACACACCGACTGCTCTCTAAATGAGCACAGACTTCTTTGTTCGTGTCTCCTTGGTGCGCTCTCCATCAATGGCCTCATTTTTTCCTTTCCCCCCTCCCTTTTTCAGCGTCCACCCGGTGTTCTTTCTAGCCTTCCTTTCACTCGTTTCCTCTGCTTCTCTAATATCCATCTCCTTAATTCCAGTTAAAGATTACTCTAAACATTCAGGCCATGCTGCATGTTACTGTTGCTTTCACCTCTGTGAAAAGTGGATTAGTTAATTAACCAAAAATGTTTTTTCTTGATTTCTTTTTAGAATCCTGCCGTCAACCAGCGACCGTTTCCTGTTGAAGAACTTGGTTTCTGGCGTGGACTACAACCTGTGTGTGCTGGCCATTTTTGATGACTCAATCACATCATTAGCTGCAACTAAAGTTCTGGGTTGCGCAACGTTCTCCACGAAGGATGTTTACCCAGCATGCCGCTCTCTTCAAGCCCACTTCCTGGGCGGGACGCTCACCATATTGGTTGGCGGCGTGGTTGTGGTCACTCTGCTTGTGTTTACCGTCGCACTCATGGTTCGCCACCGTGTTTGCAATCATGGAGACCACATAATATGTCACGGTGGCAACGCCGAGGCAGGAGGTGGAACCTGCTGTCAGGGCGGAGGAGTGGGAGGCGGGGATAAAGGGGGGAACGGTGGTGGGTGCTACCAATCAAATGGCGCTGGGGAAATGATGATGGTGGTCCTGCCCAATGGTCTGCCCTCCAAAAGGGGAGGAGAAACGGGGAAAGATAAGGACAAGGAGAAAGATGCAGCAGATTCAGCTTCCCCCGTCCCTCCAAAACTGCCTCCAAAGCCCAGGGCAAAGCCCAAAGTCAACCTGGAGCAGTTTTTATCTGCTGGAGGGGTGGTTTCCACAACAACAGGAGCAGGAAGTGAGATGGCGCTGGTAGTGAGGCAAAGAAAGGCATTGCCGCAAAGCCTAGAGAGTGACAGAACTCCCCTTTACTACTCTCCTTCTCCTCCATCCACACTGCCCCGACAGTCGCGTTCCAGGGAACGCCCGAATCCCCGTCTGGAGCAAGAACTGACAAACCGAGCCAGTTTCTCCCTGGCTGCGCCCTTGAGAGACTCAGAGATGTTGGACTGGAGAATCACACCCAGAAGTAGGGACAAATGGAACTCCTCGCAGGCTTATCAGAGCCCGGGGTCCCCTCTAAGCCCCGCCTGCGGGACTGTTGGCAAACGGCGGCACTCCCTAGACATGGGCTCCTCTGTCGCCCTAGCAACCGATGCTGCCGCGACCGTTGCCAGGCGCTACGGTGCCGTAAATTGTGCCAAGCGGTTGAGCGTGATCTGGACGAGACGGAGCCAGTCGCTTCACGGGATGCTGGTGCAGTGTGCGTCAGCAACGAGCACTACCTCTTCGACAACCAGCGACGAGGGTGAAAGCGGCGGGAGCTTCGGGGGCCAGGATTTCAAACGGGGGTACATCCACGCTTACAACACCACTAACTCTAACTCGAACACTGGAATTACAGCTGGGAAAGCAAAAGACAGGAGTAAGGAGACGGGGCACGCCGAGGATCTGGAGGAAAGCGTTGTATAGTAGGTATGGAAGAGAATACGGAAAAAGGAGTGACGAGTTCTGTGACTGAAAATTCAAATAGGATGTAGATTAAAAAGGTGAAATTTAAAGAGAGGAAATTAAATATGAAGCAACTGTGCATGGGAGCAGTAAGTTGAGATCAGAATGAGGGGAGAAAGTCAAACTGGGACACAACCGACTTCTCTGCCCAGCAGGAAGTAAAACATAAATAAAAAACGGGGTAGAATAAGAAGTGCCACTGAAAGTGAATTTTTATTTTAATTACACCCTTTAGGCTCAGCTGTAAACAACTGAAAAGCAAAAAAAAAAAAATCTAGACCGAGTGGTTTTAGGGCTGCACAATATTAGAGAAATATTCAATTGTGATATTGTTCAATACTTCTGGAACATTAACGGTTGCTATAAATACACATTTCCCTCACTCCTCTCTGTCTGGTCATCACGATGCTCAAAATACTCTATTTTTAGCAGTTTGGTGAGCATCATCACTTGAAACAGTAGCTTATATTTTTTAGCCATTTGTGATTTGATAGTGTGCGCATTAATATCGCAATAGCATTTCAGAATATTGTGCAGCCGTAAGTGGCATGAAGTCAGATGGTCTGAGCTCAACTTGGACCTAGAGCCTCGCCCATAAGAGAACTGCACTTCTATCTGACATTTCCGTCCTCCAGAGTCCACTCAGCCAACAGCGCCATTGTGAGGATTTAAACTGGATCAAAAACCTGAAGAAAACCTTTTACCAAGAAAAACGGGAAAACGTATGGATGGTATGGCTCACATTCTTCAATAGGCTTTTGACTCCGACCCCGATGGCCCGTTCTGAAACGTTTTTTTCATTGAATGTGACTTGTGTGTCCTTCGTGTCTGGACAAGGGTTTTGGTTGGCTGCGCCTGCGGATTATGGGAGTATAAATACAGAGCCTTGCACATTGGACATGATCAATCAATACAAACCAGGGCAGACATCATTATAAAAAAAAAAATATTGGGATCACAACTGAGTCGATGTGGATTACAAAATGGAGAAGATGGGAGGACGATGGAACATACGAGTCCATACATTCCTAAAAAGACCGTGCTGCATGTCGGATAATGGAAACGACTGAATAATCCTAATGGGTGCATAAGTGAGCGTGCATTAATGGAAAAAAAAGACCGTTTGAGAGCACAAGTGCATTTGAATGTCTGCGAGGGGCCAATCCAGCCCGACTCCATTGATGTACAAAATGTTTAGTGCTTTCTGGACATGCTGTTGGAAGGAGGAATATGCACATTTATGATACGAGGTGGTCTATACAAACTGAAGTGCATTGTTGAGAGGCTTGACGGTGGCCATTAGATACATTCAGTGACATAGCATGGTGAGAGAGCATCGACTGGTAAAGACAAGTCCATCTTTCCAACTCATTTTGTGCGAGTTTAGATTTCTTTGTGCCACATGGGTTCAAACCAAACTGGTGAATGTCAGAGAGAAAGCAAGAACAGAATCATCATGCTCACTAAAACAAACAAAATAAATCATTTGAAGATTCTTATGGACTCCAGAGACTCAAACTATCAAAGAAAAAATAAGAAAACTTGAAAGTACATATATATATATGGTCTATATATAAAATGTTACTTGTTGCACCACGTGTTTCTGTTTTTCAGTTTTATGGGAAATGATCGTAGGATCATTCGCAAAAAAAAATAAATAAATAAATTGTGTGATTTCTGTTTGTTAACGATTCACGATCAGAACAAAAACACAGAGGAGTTCGTGATAAGTCGAGCTCAAAGGACGACGAAGACGCACAAAGAAAACCGAGAACGTCCCAACATGCCGATTTAAACTGACGCCTGTTCAAAGAAAGTTAATTAGATTTATAATAACGTTAACCCGTTAATGTTGTTTCCTTTGTTTTTATTTCTTTTTGCCAAAGTGAATAATGTTCTCTTGATATAAATAATAAAAACAAAACTACACGTATGGAACAAAGAGTGGCTGAGTACCGTTACGCCTGGGTAGTGTGCGTTTGTTTACACATTTTTACACACAATGTGTTGATCTGAAAATTAATATAAAGAATTCAAACGGTGTTTTGCCGTGTGGTTTTGTACATCGCAGAAACACAATTTCAGGCTCTCGAAGGGGAATTGTGTTAAAGTACTTTACAGTCAAAATAAAGATGAGTGCCAATGCTTAAGTTTTAAAAGTTAATCTGGAAATTTAAATTTAATCAGACTTTATGAACGTACATGGGGACTTGAAGAAACCTCAGAGGGAGACAGGTTTGAGTCTGCACAGACCACAAGTTCAAATTAAACTTAACAGTGAATGTGGTTTATTAGACGACGAGCTACAGTATCTCAAGCTGAAACTAATAATGAGCATGAAATACAAGCAGACAACGTGCATCGCCTTTTTAAAAAATAATCTTTTAGATTACTTTATTTTCAGGCCAGATCTGAAATCTAAGTATCAACATTTACTGGAAAGGTTTATTGGATGGGTGGAACGGTGGCTCAGTTGGAGCTGCTGCCTCTTAGTGAGAAGGTCGCCGGATCAAATCCCAGTTAGGGGCCTTTCTGGGTGGAAACCAGAAAGGTCTGAAACCGTCCGGAGGACCGGATTTATCTTTGTAGGATTTGTTAACTGGATTATTGAGCATGAACTTTGATGCTTCTCTCCGTGCATGCGTGGGTTTTCTCCAGGTACTCCAGTTTCCTCCCACAGAACCAAAACATACGTTAGGCTGACTGGTAACTCTAAATTGTCCCTAGGTGTGAGTGAGAGAGTGAAAGGTTGTCTTGTGTGTCTCTGTGATGGACTGGAGACATGTCCAGCGTGTCCCCCACCTCTCACACAGTGATAACTGTTATTTTAGGGATGCACAATATTGGATTTTTGGCCGATATTCAATACGGCGATATGTTAAAACTTATTTGGCCAATAATCGATACAATAACAAATCCCCCCCACCCCCCCACCCCAGATCTACTTAGAGACTGCACATCTTTCTCTGCTATGGAATTAAAATACAACATTCTTCTTCATGGTCTTTGTCACTTTGGTCTGCTACCAAATGCAGATGCCAAAAAGGGAGCTGAAAATGACGCAACACTTCAACTTGGATTATGTTTAATGTCAAATTTATTCATGACATTTACTCTCTCTAACACAATGACATCACTCGAACAGTGCAAATTTGTAAATTTTGACAAATCTAAACTCAACGGAACGCAGGATGTCAAAACGTTACGCTGGCGCTGCAGTCATCCATGTCACTGTTCAACTTTTCACGGTTGTAATGCAAAAACAGTGCCATATATATATATATATATATATATATATATATATAATTGTTTCAATTTAAACAGTGCCTTTTATATTGGTTATTTTTATGGAATGGCCGATGTCCGATATTTAATTTTATCGCCAATATCGGCCGATACCGATAATATCGTGCATCCTTTATTTATTTTTTACAAAATACTGCTAGGAGATTGCTGCTGCAAAACAGTGAGCAACACATTAAACTGACATCTCTGCTCACAGAGGAAGTAAACCAACAGAGCTGCAGATGCTGATGGTAGTATATTTAGCACAGTCAGTATACGGATGATGAATTCTACTTGCTCCCTCGTTTGTTTTTGTTCTTCAGATTTGGGGTAAGATGTCGACGGTTCCAACATTTAGGGCTTTGTGTGGTAAATGAAGCAAGAAGCTGACGCCGTAAATCCATTCCCTAAACTAATAATGTAAATAAAAGTCCTCCAGTTGTTAAGAAATCTTGTTTAATCTATATTCACGTCTTTACTTAGCCAGACGTGTAAAATACTACACTAACGTTCTGACTTTTCAGCAGTACACAGAAACCCTGACAAGTACGAGGGGGAAGATTTAAAACGCACCGATACAACAGAAGTTGAATTAACAGAACCACCGGGAACAGGACAACGAGCAGAAGAGGAAAAGCTGTCAAACTAATCTAGAATCTTGTTACTAACCACATCTGCAGGTTTCACGCGGACTAATGTGTTAGGAGATCCTTCACCGCTACCTGCAGCTGATTTGAACACCGAGCAGGAAAACAAGATGTTCTCACAGCCATATCTAACTCCTGGATATAAATCAGTGGAACAGACAGCATCTCATGTCTGCTGGCGAATATTTATCAAACGCCAAAACACAAAGGCGCCTCCAAGAAGTCTCAGAACGTTTGATGGATCCTGAGCGTCCTGGTGCGAGTTGCTTTCATGTAGGGACGGCTGCCACGGCGTGCGCGCAGCTTGCAAAACGGTATTTAAGGCCAAACGCAAAAATTGGCCGCGGCAGCTCAAACTGCAGACACATGTACTCGCTAATTGCGAACACTCAGAATTCAGTGGGACCGCAGCGGAAAATGTGACTATTAGATTGTTGTGTGGATGTTTACGAAGCATTCTCACTGTTGTGATCCATTTTTCTTCCATAGGTTTTTCAGCATCCGTCTCGTTCTGCATTTTTTGGACCATCTCAACAAATCATATCAAAACGTTCAGCTCATTCAGGACAATCACGCTACCACTTTTGGTTTTAGTTCAACTGTAGTTTTTTTTTTTATATATTTAGCCTTTTCTGCCATTTTTTTTTTTCCTCACAGAAAATGAATTGAGCTCATTTTACATCCTTCAGATCTTTAGATCCGTTTATAACCTTTTACTGATCCTTTCATGTTTTGTTCTGCTTCAGCTTCTTTCAGCTTACTTGTGCAAATTTAAACTTTTTTCAGCTACTTTAAGCTCATTTCGGCCATTTTGTGATCCTTTCAAATTATTTCTGACAACTACAACATTGTTGTGCATCTTCTAACTCATTTCTGCTAATTTTAGCTTGTTTATGCTAGTTTCAGTTATTTCAGCTACTATTTAGCCATTATATGCAATTTTTAGCTTTTTCAGCTAATTCAAATTTTTTTTTTTTAGCTAATTTCAGCTATTTTCACTTCCTTCTGGTAGTTTAAGCTTCTTTATGTTTTTTCAGCTATTTTTAAAGCCAATTTTATATATTTTTTGCTCATTTCAGCTAAGGCTGGACAATAATTCGATATGTGTTGCAATAGACTTTTATTCAATGAACGCGAGTTGTTCCAGTGGGAACACACGTAACTTGTTCCATCAGAAGAGTTTACACTCAATAGTTTGCTGAGAGTCAGAAAATGAAGCACGATAAGAGTCTGAGCCATCGTGCTCCTGAAACAACCCCCCAGCTGTTTCAAGAGAAACACATGCAGCAAACGTTATGGTGCTCAAAGTTAAAACTATTAATATTGACAAAGTTGAGAGTTTTATGTTTATTTGACGGTGATTTTAAGTTTTTGAAGGTTAAATACAAATAATAGGTGAACAATTTATACAGTTTGTACAGTTTTTCTGAGGCTTTTAGATTTAATTCAACCTTTATTTAAACAGGTTAATCCCATTGAGCCTTAAGGACTAATTTACAAGAGAGACTTGATTTCAACAAAGAGTGATGAAACCAACAAACAATCATGAAAGAGGCATACAGATTTTTATTGTATTTTTTACTAATTAAAAAAAGATGGCAAAAAATAGCAAAACGGCTAGATTCTATAGGCGAATGTAGAAAACTCAAAACAGGAACATGTCTGCGTTGGTCCCTGCCAGGTGTCCAACAGATTCTTAAAGTCACTTAGAGAGGTCAAGGTCGAGAGCTTCAGATCTTTTTGTAAGATATTCCAGGAAACAGGAGCGGAGTAGGAGAAGGCCCTTTTGCCAAGTTCAGTCCTCACTGAGGGAACACTGCAGGTAATAATATCCTGAGAGCGCACGCTGTAGCTGCACTCACACAGAGACATGTAGGAGGAGATGTATGAAGGCAGCAGACCAAGAAGTGATTTAAAGATGAAAATATACCAGTGAGAGAGCCTGCGTGAAGTGCACTGAGGGAACACTGCAGGTAATAATGTCCTGAGAGAGATATCAATATTGAATTATATTGTATCGACTGAATTAAGAAATATATCGTGATAAAAGTTTTGGCCATTTCGTCCAGCTCTAATTTCAGCTTATTTAAACCTAATTCAGCAAATATATGTTCTTTATGCTTGCTTCTGATAATTTAGGCGTGTTCATTTTCAGTTAAAAGTCAGCATGTCTTTTAGCTAATTTCAGCTGTTTTCCAGCAAGTTCTTCAGCATTCACACTGCGTTTTTGCAGGTAATGCAATTTCTTTAATTATTTCTTACTTTGAGTGACCGACAAGACTTTAATATCTGTGGCCTATGGTGAGATAAAGCCCAAACATGGCAGTAATCAAAAAAGCAAATATAACTTTTATCATCTTTTTACTTATACTCAGGTGAAGATACGATCAGCTGAAGGTTCACACATCTAGCTGCTTGGAGAAACACTGGACTTTTTTCAAGTCCAGCAGTGAAACAATCTCAGCACACGAGCCTCTGGTCTACGGTTTGTTCTCGTTCCAGCTGGACAATAAATAAATTAAATCTGTCAGCAGCGAGTTGCAGAGAAGAGGATGCTTAAAGTCGGTTTATTCCTATCTGGGCGAAAAGCCGTTTGTATTTTGATCAAATTTTAGAACAAGTGCGCTGAAGTAAAACGAAGCTTCAGATCTGCGATAAGTGGTAGAGAGGGGCAAAAATATATTTTTCACTCATCCTGCCTTTCATCTACCGCTCCTCCTGG